TATATATATATATATATGAACTTACTATTAGAAAGACTTTCTTTTATACATTAATTTACCATTAGGAAAACTTTCGATACATGAGATTCACACTTGGATATATTGCCTCTCCCATTGTCAAATACTCATTTAAAACTCTGAGTCGACCACTTAGTCGAAACTATTGACTTTGATATCACTTGTTGAGCACATGGAATTTTTACATGTACACACATCTTTGCATTGAAGAAATATTGTCCATTTTAAAACTAAGATTTCATAATTTTACTTTTGATTTACTAGTACAAAAAAGATAATTTACGTTAGATATTTTAAGTTTTTTACGTTAGAAAAATGTCCGATATAAATACAGGAGACGTAAATTTACGTCGGTTGCGATAACGGACATAAATTTACGTCGGACATTTACAAGAGCCAACATAAAAAAGTTGTAAACAAAAAAAAACACAACGCATGCAAGTAGAACGGGCCGTTCTCCAAACAGAACAGAACGCGAAGTATTTTCTACTTAGTATTAACTAATATATTAACAAACGATGATCCACCCAAACGCGAAGAAGAGGATAATATTAACTAATATATTAATAGATCAATACATACATTTATTTTCAACATATTAGCTAATATATTAAGAAAGGATTTTTCAAACTAACCTCAAACGCGAGCTCAATGCAATTGGTCAAAAACTCAAGAACCACCCAAACGCGCAAATGTACACTTAGATGCAATACACTCAAATGAAATCTTAACTCAGAAGATTCGAATTGCACATACACTCAAAGTTTTCTTGTTTAAATATTGACGCACGCGCGAATAAATTTGAAATTTGTAGATATTTTACGTCGGATCTCGTAGGGGTCGACGTAAATTGGAAAATCTACGTCGGACACAAGTTATATCCAACGTAAATTTTCTTTCTTACGTCGGCCCCTATGAGGTCCGACATAAAAAATTTAATTATAATTACAAAAATGCCACCACATTTTTTTAACGTCGGATTTTTCTTTATCCAAAGAGAATACAATAACGTAAATTACCCTTTTTCTACTAATGATTATCATTCAAAATACCTCTTACTAAACTAGAGACAATCAAACAATTTATAAACTTATTTCCATCCTTTTATTCAAAAGATATAAGAATTTTATTATATCCCAACATCATCATTAACATATCAATTCTAAAATAACATACCATTATTATATATTGATATTAGATGAAGCGATTTACATATTGAATAACTCTTTCCTTAAAAAGACCCTAAATTTTCTTTTTTAAGGTATCTTTTAATGTCGATGTAATCTTTTCCACACTGGACTAGGTATCCAGTCAATTAATAATAGTTACGCTAGCTTTTCTTGGCAAAACACAAGTGCATATCTTGTAATTTTTTACTAATGGATCTGCATTTTTTTTTCTTCAAGTGACTAGCTTATTCCACAAGGAGACCTTGTGAGTGTTCTCATCTCAATACGGTTTCAAAAATAAACACTACCTATAACTTTTTATATAATATAAATTTAACTGCTGTTAAATTTTGTCATATTATACTCAAAATTATTTATATTCACATGATTCTAAAATTTCTTAATTATTCATCATATTGTTATATTTTAATTTTTCATATTATACTCAAAATCATTTATATTCACATGATTCCAAAATTACTTAATTATTCATCATATTGTTGTATTTTAATGCATAATATTTAAAATATGTGTAAATATTTATTTTGGATAACATATAAATTAAATTTGCATTAGATCAAAAAGTTATTAAAGATAAGATTTTGTGCAAATTTTTAGACTTATATCATGATGTCAATGGATTCTATTATATATAT